CAAGCTTGGCAACTATGACAAATATCCCTCCTACGAGGCAATCTATGTGAGAGGACTATGTTCAGCAACGGTCTATTGATATACTGAAGGTAATGATGAAGATCTAAAACGTGGTATTGAGTACTAACTTTTCATTGAAATATTTTTACTTGTCGTAAGACAGTATATAGGTTTATAGATAACTAGGTAGTTCTTAAAATTATTTTCCAACTTTATGAAACGATTTGTACCCATCTCCGATAATGAGTCCGAGCCAGAAGAATTCTACGCTTCTTCTGAAGATGAGCTGCAAAACAGTCAGTCTTTGCATAAGTCGGACACTGTTAAATGGAAGGCGCCAGATCTACCATTAGAAGAGGAAGATGACGATCCTGACTTTATTCCGCAAACAAAGAAACAAGAACCAACAATGCTTACGCCAAAACCTCATATTGAGTCACAAGGTATTCAGTGCCTAAGATTAGGAGAATTATTCTATAACCAGATCCGGTACGCTGAAGTGCAAAAGAAATTGCAAGCATTTCCAGTGTTCCATGCTTTAAAGCTGAATCCTGCTCTAATGAAGATTTTTTTTTATAGGATAAGGGTGACAAACGAGCACACAGTCCATCTGATGGTAAGTGGTTGCTGCGGCCCATAGACATCTACATCTATCCTCTATTACAAATCAAAATGGAGATGCGTTGTCACCCGTGAGGACTAAGATGGAATGCCTCATTTCCAGTAAAAAGGGCCTCCGGCCACCTGCACTCACCAAGCGAAACGCAGAGGCAAACCTCTACTTCACGCTGGTTTTCTGTGAGGTCGTGGTACCACCCCGGTTCGAGCCGGCCCATCCGTGCGACAACAAAAACTACCGCATGGCTCTACCACTGTTAAAGATTAATAATTCCAGCGCTTCTCTGGACTCTCTAACAAAATAGGAAGCTTCCTTTGGTACGATACTGCATGGCTTACTATTACAGAGAGAGGCACTCACCAGTGTTGTAAAATACCTTTCAAACAAACATCCTTCCCTGAAGCAGGACCTCAAAAGTCACTTTACGGCACGAATTCAGCTTTCAAATGTGTTTCCGATGATGTACTGCAGTATGTTTGTGGTCGCAAAGTCGAGGCAATAGAGCAAAGAAGAAATACGTTTCTACCGCAAGATGTCTATCTTTCAACTTTATTGAATGATATTCCGCCATCTTCAACACATCTTTTCGATGAGAATAAATTTTCAGAGCTCTTAAAATAACCCTCGTTTCAAGGATTTTTTCGTGGTTCCGCCATATCATATTTCTCGTTTAAGCCCAAATTTCAACCAAAAGAAACTTCAAGTTTTGAACAACGTAAAAGAGTCCATAAATCGTCCAGGACGACATTCAAACCCCGCTCACAGCAGTTTAAAGGTTCTAAAATGGAATCCTGGAAGCCTAATTCTAAGAGAGCCCCAAAGCGAAGTTTTAATGCTCGCCCCAAGGATAAACCCTCATTCTACAACGAGTCCAGTTCTAAAAAAACCTAGACAATCCTGACTTGCAGGATTTCAAAGGGGGGAGACTGAGCAAATTCGTGAGCGTCTGGCAAAAAATGGGGACACCTACAGGGATTCTGAAAATAATAGAGGGATATTCTATACCCTTCGTGGTAAAACCTCCTTTTACCCTTCGGACAGGAGTTTGCCTAGAGAAGTTTGCTTCTAGGGGACTGGACGCAGAGATAGAGGTCATGATTTCTTAGAACATTTTGGAACCCTGTCTTTCACCCCTAGGATACCTTTGGAAGCTGTTTCCAGTTTTAAACCCAGACGATAGTTTTCACCCTATTATAAACCTTCGAGGGTTAAACAGGTTTCTACGGCCAAAAAAATTCCGTCTTCTAAATCATTTTCGAGTGCCAGAATTTATCCAAGAAGGGGACTACCTCTCGAAAATAGATATTTCCCAGGCGTATTTTCACTTACCAATAAAAAATTTTTGGCAATATTTCATCGTCACAGGATACTTCAGTTCACTTGCCTACCTTTCGTCCTAGCGACAGCTCACATTACATTTGCAAGAGTGTCAAACTGGCTGGCAGGCCAGCTCAGAGAGAAAAGAATAAGACTAATAGTTGACCTCGATGGCTTTCTCTTGGCCAATCAACACCCGAACGAAATAGAGAAAGATATCCAATTCACAGTCAGGTTTTTGCAGGATCTCGGATGGATATTAAATATGAAAAAATCTCTGAATCCACGAACTCGTTGCCTAGAATACTTGGGATTAATGTGGGATACTCAGAACAACAAAATATTTTTACCCGACAGAAAGATCGCGTTTTTAAAGAAGGATCTAGAGCAAATAACAAGGTCGGGAACCTGGAGTTGGGTCAGCGGAAAAAGACTTGTCGGAAAGTTAGCTTTTGCATCTTTCACAGTTCCTCTAAGAAGACTACATTCGAGACATCTGCAACGTGCAGCAAGAAACTTACCCCAACATCAAAAGAACCACAAATATCTTATCCCGTCGAAAGCACTCCAGGAATGCTTTTGGTGGTTGGAAAACCTTCAGAAAGATCGACCATACTTTGCCAGCCTCGAAACGTTATTTGTGACAACAGATGCTTCGGACACGGATTGGGGTGCCCAGGTCAACAAAAGACTCCTCAGTGGACTTTGGAAGACCAATCAAACTCTGTGGCATATAAATCGCAAGGAGCTATACGCAATTTATCAAGCAGTAATTTTGACGCTAACTCAACTGAGGGGGAAACGCGTAGTAATTCAATCGGACAACAAAACAGCGCTTTCCTACATGCGGAATCAAGGTGGAACCAAATCCGTTCTACTGCGAGAACTAGTGTCAAAGATTCTGGAACTCGCCTACGAGAACGAAATCAAAATTTTTGCTTACTACATACCGGGAGTCTTCAACGAGATAGCAGACAGCCTTTCTCGTCAGAAGCACCTGGTCAAGGCCAAAGTCTTCTTTAAAAACGTACGCCGCATCATGGAAAGCTTGGGTAACGAGAGGTAATAAAATGAACCTGGATCAGAAGAAACCTAATCCAGATGATGTAGCCCAATATCTTAGTTTTTTACATAGAGTAAAACACTTCGCACCTGGGACAATAAAATTACACAAATCTCTTATAGCCACTATGGCTGATCCCCTAAGAAGGGAAGAAATTTCCAGTCACCCTTTGGTGAAACATATTATTCGAGCAATAGAGAATTCTCATCCTTCAACGTCGAAGAAATGTATCTGGGATGTTGAACAGCTGATTGCTTGGATGAAAACCTCAGTTATTAATGAAGATTGTCTATTTGAAGTATCCCGCCATGTGGCACTGATTCTTTTGCTGCCGTCGGGTAGAAGAATACACGATCTTACTCTTCTAAGGATTGATGATGATCATTTAAAGCTGAGTGAGGATTTAGTTACCTTTACGCCTGTATATGGTTCAAAAACAGATAAGATTTATCATCAACCATCAGGTTGGCATTTATCTAAAGGTTCGATTAAGTCTCTAGATCCCATGTATTGGACGAAAAGACTGATTGATTTGTCAGCCTCTAGAAGACAGGCAAGAAACAAATTAACATCTTTGTTTGTATCTATACGCGGAATTGTAAAGTCTGCAACTAGAGCTACAATTGCAGGATGGGTAAAATCTGCTTTAAAGCATCTTGGTATTGATTTTTCGCCTGGAAATATAAGATCTCCCGTAGCCTCCTCAAGACAGGAGAACAATGTTCCTTTAGATATAATCATTAAAAATGGAAATTGGAAATATGATAAAAATTTATTTAAGTTCTACTTTAAAGAGATAATTAAAAAGACATCTGGTGCTCATCCAGTTAATGACTTAGTTTGTTCTCATTTTAAAGCTATCTAGATTGTTTTAATGTCTACATTTTTAATAAAAAATACAGTTGATTTACATACACGTTTATTTTATTTAAAAACTATATATTATTCACAGTACGGTAATTCTGCGTCGTCAGAAACTAAAAACCTATCATTATGGTCAAGCCGACGGCACAGACCATGAAATAAGGAACGTTTTCCCCCCAAAGGGAAGAATTATTTCATTCGATATATTTCTTGTTTTGCCTAAGCTTGACCAGGATAAGCTCTTGGCGACTAGTGAGAGGTACTGAGAACACGAGCGCCGTCGCTTCACCGCCCCACCTCCCGCGGAGAGAGAAGCGCCCACTACGGCGCTACCTAGACGAATGCAAGCATTTATTTGAAAGTATGGGTAATATATGGATAGATACAGTAAGTGTTATCTCATTATGGTCAAGCCTAGGCAAGACATGAAATATATCGTTTTCTTCCCTTTGGGGGAAAACGTTCCTTATTTGCTTCCCATTAATTTAAACAATATGTGAACCGGTTTAATGGAAATCATGTAGGTAATAGTCATAAATTATAGTTCTGAATTATAAAAATTAATTTTAGCAAAGTAATAACACAACAAAATATGCATTTTTCAGTACAGTCTTGACGAAATCATATTATACCGTAGCAATAGTGTCTTCTAAATCGAAATGTGCATTAGACCAAAGACTACAAAATTATCATTGACGTTGGTACACGAAACGTCACGTCACTATCAGGAATTCACCTGTCACGATTTTTTTTGTCATTTGTCAAATATTATGGAATTTTTACCATAGATAAATAAATATGTAGCAAGCTAATTTTTAGTTTTTACTGTAGAATGTAGATTTGTTGTGGATTGCGGTGGTGGGGTAAAATATGTGATTGTGCAGCTTGGGAACAAGTTCACTGTAATTAATTATGTAGATTATCAAAACTATTGTTTACGAACATCACTGCGTAAAAAGTTAACGCATGCTCCCACAGTGTTCAAGGAAAGTGTACTTTCTGTGAGACTTCCAGTTGCTTCTATGTTGTCGCTGTAGTTATTACCAGTGATCAATAATTCTTACGTTATCCGATCATAACTCGCGTAACGTGACCGATTAAAGTAATTAGAAAGTTTTATGTGCTAGCATTTAACGAATGGCGGGTTTACATGCAAGCGACACAATGCCTAAAATGGGGCATGTCACGGATCTGCGGGAACAGTGGTTGGTACGTACCGATGGTGCCCTTGCCCACCGTTTGCAAGACCGCGAAATCTCTTCTCATCTCTGCGAAAATAGGTATCGCAATCAGCAAATACGCGAAGATTTTCCGGTAGCTTTAAGCGAGCAGAGAGGTATAGAACACGAAGTGCGTTTAAAGGAACTTGCGCGACGTCGTCAAGCCGAAATTGACGCAGAAATTGCGCGAGAAATGGCCGAAATCAATCTACGGAAGCAGAGAAGACAACATAGTGATGCACTGCAGCAACCGAGCTCATCTCGCGCGCTGCCTCCAACGTCTCCACTCGACATTAATCCTGAAGAGCTAGGTCTCTCTTCCTCAGAGTTAGAGGAGATGAGAAGACGTTTAGAGCAGGAAGAAAAAGATGCTCGTTTGGCAAGGGAATTAAGTCATAAAGTGGGTAGTGAGGATATTCTACTTGCTGATATGAAATGTGCCGTTGAAGCACAAGATAGTGAACTTGCTCGTTTACTGCAAGAACGAGAATATAAAAAGCTACAACGGGCCAAGGAGAAAGCAAAGCAGAAAGCATTATTGAAGAAACAACAGCGTCTAGCTCAGCTACAACAGGAACCTCTACCAGAAATACCTCAAGCGACTCTCTGTGAAGCTTATAGTAATCCTCGTGATGTGATTCAAGAGAACAGGCTTCGACAGTGTAAATCTGTAGATTCAGATCTGAATTATGTAGAGCCATTTGAAAAGGAAATTATACAATCAAAGGCAAGTGCTATATTATCCAAAGAAATTTCCAAGCAATACTATTCGCAAGACACTGGATCTACAAGCTTCAAAATAAACACGTCCCATATGCACTCATCCCTTGCAGAGAAGCCTTTAGCAAGCACCAACTCATCAATTCAACATAGACAACCTCCTCCTCCCCCTGCCACAGGTAAAAAACCAAGGTTTCCTGATCCAGTAAGTATCAGGCCTGCTTCTCACTATCCCACTGATAATATATTATCTGGTACGGATGCCCAACACAGCCCAATACCTCACAGTCTCAGTGAAAATAATAATTTATATGAATCTACATTCTCAAGTCAAAATGAGACAAGTCCACAGCATTTGAGTTATGAAAGAGGTGATCCATCCAAACGATTGTCCGTCATCTCTGATATAACAGCAGAGGGATTGGAAAAGAAGAAAAGGAAGAGGGCAAAAAAGAGTAAGGGATGTAGGATACAATAACAGACTCGTACATTATTATTGGAACAATAACAATATTGACTTAATAGAATAGTATAGATAGTGGCAGTGTCAAGACAACCTTGACATGAGCATTTATTTGTTTTTGTGTGAAGTACAAAGGCATGGAGTGAAAAAAGTGAACATTCTTCCACATAAACAGTCCATCAAATTATCATTGACATCTATTAGATATTCATGTGTCATTAACTTGCAGTACACTGGCCAGGAAATGTTATGCGCAAGTTTGTTCATGGTGCTGTCTCTTAATGCATGAGCATTAAGTGTCAGTACTGACACCACTATCTATACACAATTTTACAAATACCAGTCTATATCAAACTTTTACAATTTTCAGTTGTAACCAAAATAGATATAGTAGAGAATTATAACAATTTTATCAATCCTATTACATTCAAAGGCTAAAAATATTTCTGTCCATGTGTTATTTAAGAGCTATTTATTGTCTATTTAATTTATGGAAGTACCTGTAGGAACCAATGAGCCATTGTTTGTTTTTTAAAGTAAGGTCTTTACGTGCCTTAATCTAGTTGTAAGTTATTTACTTGAAGCATTCCAAATGTGATTATATTAATAACCATTCTAATTACATATCGAGAAGATATGCCCATATTTTAAGAAGGTAATATTAATGTACAATAGAAGAAATATTATTTTATTAAATACTTAATATACATGTATATAAAACTAGGATCTAGATTAAGCTGGAGGAAATGCAAGTCTCAGGCCTCTCAATTTTTGCAGATTAGTGTGAGTTGCTTTAAGTGTAGGGGCCTATATATTTAGTTCAGTTTAATTAATCTCAAATAGGAGCTTAATTACATAATCATAAATAGAAGAAGACTACAGGGAGAAACGGTATATTAGGACAATATGTTAAATATCTTCATAGCTCATATTCAGTGTACTTCATAGTAAATTAAAGACTTTAATATACGCAGGGTACTTTACAGTAAACTTGTGTGTAAGTTGATATTGCTTTTTATTATACTTAGAATTAAACATATCCTAAACATATCAAACATTCTTGTTATGTAATCTCATTTTGTAACGTCTAGATTAATGAATTAATTTAGACTAGACAGAAATAATTTTTTTTATATTTTTATTGACACTAGGCAGAGAAATCCGACACATTTTCTTTTTAATATAAAGTTATTAATTACTCATATATAAAAAAAATTGGTATTTGTGCGTATGAGTAACAACAATTAGACACTGATACTGAAACAATAAAATATTATAGAGTGAAGTGTAAAATGACATAGCAAAAGTAAAATGCCAAGCTATTTCCGGAATGTTGCATCATCAATTTTAATGCCTTTGTGGGTGCTATAGGTAATCACTATGGTTCTCATTTCTAATTTAAAGTACTTATGTCAATTGCATTTTCAATTTTAAGGTATTGTAATTTAGATTCAAAATGTAACAAAATTGAGAGAGTAAGTGTATCATCCTATAGGATATTATTACTCTGTAGTCTACAGGAGGATCACGTAGCAATCTCAGACTAACAGAAAATGATAGAACAAAGTGCTCACTTCTTCACATGCACCCATGTATATTTATTTTCTCTTCATCGTCTGCTTACTTATTTAACCATGTTGTTCGCTGCAAAAAATAAGATGCATATGTGTGTGAGAGTGTGTTTTCACAGTAAGTTAGGCCTGGTTTTGTTGTGGTTTTTGTGTCACTTAAAATGTACACAGCGCTCCAACTTTCTTAATTTGTTGGTCTGAGCTAGCAATAAAAAAAATTAAGCGAGATGTCTCTTAGGCAGCAAGTGTGATATATATATATATATATATATATATATATATATAACAGTAAATTGTATGCTTGAGTGAATGATGTTACTGTATTTTACAGCTAGTCTTATTCAGCTCAATATTTTGGAATTTTCACTGTGATTTTACTGCTTAAAATTCATCAAATGGGAGTTGCTTTCAAGTTATATAATATGTAACATCTATATTACAGAAATTTTCACCAATTTTACTTACAACACACCTATGATATCTCACCCATTGCCTTGTATAATTACTTTTTAAATCAATGATCTCAGCACCCTTAAAAATAATTGGGTAAAAATGCCTATAGGTATTTTATCCGCCATTTGTCAACCCTTTGTTTAGGTCAATACAGCAAAACGTAAATTTATAACCATGACTTAAAAGCAACTCAACTGTTTAACATCAAGTAATGATCAAATTCAGTTATATAATTGTAGCTTCATTATATTTTAGCTCTCTAGTAGTGTACAATGAAAATGTATGACAGTAATTTAAAACACTGCCAATATTATAATATTTTGTATATTCTAGTACCTAATATAAAGTACACATGTACTGCTCAATTTTAAACATGTTGTTTAATCACTATAAAGACTGATTTTATAACAACATTATTTTATAACATTCATTCACTATTCCATATAGATTTTCCAATATCTTTTATAGTCATCTGACCTACTTATAAAGTTTGGTTTGACCTACATTCAATTTTCATTGTAGTTTTGTTTTACTAGTTAAAAAAAATATTTTTAAATATGCAAAATTATCCAGATATTGATTTTTGAATTTAGCTTATTATCTGCTTTGCTAACTATAAAAATATACTCTTTGGTCTTATTTATAAACAGGTTTATAAATATGCCTATCGCAATACCAATTGTGGCGTCCAACCGTCATGGAAGCTGCAGGATAGTCCCACAAAAGCCATTGAAAATTTAATCACGCATTCACATATAAACCCGATTATAATATTAAAAAAATCTTGAAAAAAAACATGACCACAATCCCATTTGCTACCTGGAGCCCATATCTGTTAAAAAAATTGTTGGTTTCGGATTTCGAGTTGGGTCTCTCTCTGATATTGTTTTCTAAGTCCGTGCCTGCTTTGCACAATACTTACATCGGAAACAGGTAGGTTATGAGCTATTAGCAACACTATCTCGCTGTTCGTGCCATTTCAATAAATATTCGAATGTTTTCCACATTGTGGAAAATCGGCGTAGGCGATGTCATATTATAATAATAAGTTTTTTTTTTAGTTTTTTATGAATAAGTTGTTACTATAACCGCAATCATAAATTTCTTTTGTTTTATACGTACTATTTGAAGAATTTCGATTTAAATTATGTAAAAATCCAAAATTATACGATAATCATTAAAATAAAAATGTTACCTAACTACTTACATTTACACAAATACTTGACATTGAATAAAACTAATTATGCGGATTTTTTTCGCGTTTAATTTTACTTATTTTACTTACACTTATACGGGGGAAGGGGGAGTGTGATAATGGGTGCTGGGGAACGTCGGTAATTAAAAATAAGTAAAATAAATTAAACGCGAAAAATTCCGTAAAATTTATTATATTTCGACTATAATATTGGATTTTATATAATATATAGCTTATAAATGTTTCTCGAGAGTCTCACTTTGTATTCATGAGTATATAATTGTTGGTATATTATCGAATAAGCAGTGAGAGGAGAGATATAAATGAAACTTAGCGCTAAAAATCCGTCAAACAAATGACAGAGTAGTTCACTCTTTGTTTTTATTTATTGTAATTTTTGCATACCTTACTAGGTCAGACTACAATCTGTAATCTAGACTTAAGATTTTATTTATAATCTTTGTATACGTTAATTTTCGTGTCATTATTATTTTAGAGAAACCGCACTGTACCTATATTTTTGACGGAGAAACGTCTTGAGCTTTTTTTTTACAAGTATTAGTATAAATATATCTATAGTGGCAATCAAACTGTTAGACCAAAGTAGGTTTACAAAGTTAACAATACTCTGTGAACGGAAATACCTGTGTCCAAATATTTTACAGTAACGCTATACGAACCAGTGAACGCGAATAAAACATATTTGCCACATTAGGAGCGTTCACTACCGTGTCTGGACCGCAACATTCACGTCAAACCGTATACCATATGTAAAGGACATAAGAACGATTTTAATTTTTATTATTCGACCAGAGTTACATTCTAAGAGTAGAAAGCTATTTGCATATTTTTGTTATTCAAATTAAGATTTTATTGTACCGCTAGTAAAATATTATCATTCGTTGTATTTATTATAAAAATACTAATTGTGTGCAACTTTATTTAAATCTGTATGAAAGTGTATGTAAAAATAAGTCCATAAGTAATTATATTGTCATATAATCGGTACAATATGAAGTCTTACGACGTTTTAGGCCGACCACATACATACGGAATTCCGTTTCGATATTCCGATTCGGAATCCACACACGAACGGTATTTTTCCGTTCGAAATTTTGCGGGCAAAACGGGATTCCGTATGTGTGTGGCCCACCCGTTCGGAATTCTGAAACGGAATTCCGTATGTATGTGACCGGCCTTAGATTGTCATCCAAAACCTGAGCAACTGCACAGTAATTAGTATAGTGACCTAGGGCAACCTCTATCTTAACAAGCACTCATCGTTCTACATGCATACAGTTTGGGTGTTCTGTCGTAGAGAAATTAATAGACACCGTTTGAAACAAATGCTGGGATTCGGACCTACGACTTGGTAAATTATGCAGTCGTGATCACGGATGATTAGTAATGAGAAAGGGAGGCGTGTGTCGAATGCCGTAAACAACCTGGCACGACCTTTTGTTCGAAGGTTTTGTTCGACGTTTATTCGAAGATTTTTATTTTTAGATAAAACGGTGGCAAAAGCGAATTCCCTATAATTTGTTATCTGCATTAATTTTTAAGAAACTAAACGTCAATTTTATTACTTCGTGTTAACTTTCTTGAATGCTTTTTATTAACTATAACGAGTGGTAAAATTAAAAATTTTGTACAACATTATCAATGTAGTCGAAGTCAATTAAATATGAATTTTTAAGGATAACTCAAAAACTGCTGGTAGATCTTGACCAAATTTATATGCGACCGCATGAGAAGCGTCAGCTTCAAAATAAAAAAAGAATCATTGAAATCGGACCACCTAGAAAAAGTTCTGAGGTAACATTAAAAAAATAGAGTTGAATTGAGAACCTCCTCCTTTTTTGAACTCGGTTAAAATAAGTGCAGTGTTGAAGATGTAATTATTAATTTTAGCTAATTATAATGTACGGCCTATTATAGTGCCTTAATAATGAAACTGAACCAAACTCGAATATTTATCTATTGTTTAGTTACGAATTTAAGAAAATTATTTTGTATGTGGTCGAGTATTTTTAAATGTTAGAGAAAATGCAAGTTTAAGTTAATTATAATAATACTTAATCCCCTGTTTTTCATTCTTATGTAACCCAGGTAAACCAATAACTTATATTTTTTTTAAATAAGGAACAGCCCTATATTTTTTATTACACTAACAATCGGCTCCAGCTTCGCACGTCTGATTTCTGGATCTCGACAACAACATGACTTACCGGGTCCAATTATTGTGAATCTAAACTATCCAGGGACCCACTCAAGGACATCGGTCGCTGCAGCTATGTTATGGTTGCAGCACGATTGGTTCGGTTCGAGCGGGTAGTACAGAATACCAGCATGAAACAGAGTAGAGTACAGGTTCAGTACGGCCGGAGACCTTTTTGATAGTAAGGAGGAATTCCATCTTAGTCCTCAGAGGGGACAACCCATCTGCATTTTTATTCTCGGATAGATATAGATGTCAATGGGCCGCAGCATACCCTTACCATCACGTGGACTGTGTCTATGTGCTCGCTTGTCACCTTATTCTATAAAAAATCTTTGCTACTGGAGACGTAATAAAAGCATACTTTACACTTCATCGAATTAGTCTCATTTCATATTTCTCTTCATTTTTTTAAAGAACGTTACACTAAGATTTTCTCCTGTATCGTAGAGGCAGTTTACCTACATACATAAATTTAGAAAAGACAAATATCCAGACCCGGATTATTTGTAGGTCATGTAAGTACTTGCTCTGTGCGCAATTTGAACTCGCAGCTCTCGGCGCTGCAACTCATTGCTTAACCGCTGCGTCAGACGTCAAATCATTATATTTCATATCTCCTCATCTTCAGTCACTGTAGGCGCAATCATCATCATGGGCATAGCTAGTAAATTGCGCAAGGTAGTAAAAGCCTAATCCCATCTAAAATCAAAACGTAAACTTCATAACTGTGTGGCACCAATTACACAAGAGAAAAAAATTCCTAGAGGAGCATAAGCAGACTACAGACTCATTTAGCACGATCCTGACATCTTTTTCGCTTTTGTCAAGTCCATAACATGCATACATGCTCGTCGGTTAACGTTTGTGAAAGAATTGTTAACGTGTTGGACCTCCTGGTGTCCTTCAGTTGATATTTCAGACAGTACGGTAACCAAGACCACAGAGAGATCAGGCATAGGATCAATGACTTATGTTTTTCGACGCATAGGTTGTGAAACAGCCTCAACTACTTGACTCTTGGTTGATAATGAGTATTTCTTGACAGAAAAATCCAATAACTGATTTTGGCCCGACCTTACAGCAGCAAATTAACCAATGAGGCAGTATTATCGTTTTCTCGTAAAACAAATTCAGTTGAAAATGACGTATGCTAGTAGGTACTCGAACGTAGTACATAGGTGTTGCATACGACTAAACCAATTGCATAGGAACATAAAACATAATTACAGGATGTGAGGCGTTACATCTTAGAGCCTCAAGGGTGACAACGCTGTTGGTGATATTTACCTATAAATGAAAGGCCGAAGTGGACTGTATAATAATTATTAGCCAAAATTGTACAAAGTCTGAATGGAAGAGGACTGGTATAGTGCGTTAACTCGTCGTTGGCGGTCAGCTGGTCGCGCGGTGCTCGTGTCCTTTCGTCCCGCACGCCGCACTGACCCCAGCTGGAAACCGGTATGCGCGTTGAAGTCCGAACACAGTCCTTTACTGTATGAAATTGGCCGTGTGTCTATGGACTACAGTAGCCACTACCCACTCAACATCAGGTGGACTGAAGTTAGTTTGTCATTGCTGTTTTATAAAAATATGCCCGGATGCCTCTCGGGTATCAAACATTTAATGCATTAAAAGTTAAGGTTACAGTCTTACGCCCCACAGTTGGGCACACAGGCCTCCTCTCATTTCTGAGGGTTTTAGGGCAAGGAAATGTCCTGCTGCCCCAATGCGTGTTGGCGAACTTCACATGCCTGTAAAACATTTTAGGAACGAAGTTCTTTATCAGACAACTATACCTATTTAAGTACAATTTTCTCGCACTATCAGTAATTGAATTTGAACTGCTTACTCATTCAGACAACGATTCTGATGCTTCCTGTTCACCACATTTTATTGGCTAAAAAAAAAAGATGCTAGTTATTTGGGAAGCCTGTAAAAACTCTAACGTTACAGTATTAATTATACCGCGATATACTTGTATGATTCGCGCGCTGAGGGTTTCGCCTCTCTAAGTCTTCCCGTAAATATACTGAACATTATAAAAAAATTCGTTCATCGTCTAATCACAAAATTAAACAAAAATCCCAGCAATGTTATATGTAATTACGTTAGCACATGGTACTGCAGATTTCTTTAAGTACACTCTTTCTGTTTTTATGGTGTAGTTGTAATTTTATTTAAAATGCACTTAACATATGCATGAATAATCTGACGGTAACCACGTTTCTTCGCTGCAGTTCTCCTTAACAAATTTGATCCATGATTATTTTGTTTCATGACACGGCTGAGGAAAACTTTAAATCCAAATAATAATAAAAAATATTAATTTTAATGCATTAACATTTCTTACCGTGATTATATATTAATATTTTACTGTTTATAATTGCTTAACATTATACATCGATAGTGTCAAATCTGCACATAAATATGTTTTGTTGCAGTTGATAAAATATAAAAACTAAGCGTGTTTTAAAGATAATACTTTGAACTTACTGGTGAAAAGTCACTCCTTGACTTTTACTTATGTTTCTCGAGTTGTCTGAACAGTTCTTCACTCAAACGTCTCACGTTGCAGCAACCGCTTGACACAGAATAACTGAGTTGGAGCGCGCGCACTCTAACGCATATTACAAACAATCGATTTGAGGCGTCTCTTCTAGTACGTAGTACATTATAACTTAATGCACAATACATGAAAAGTATGTGTTTGCGGGAGGGTGGATAAAATTTAATTTTGCTCTATTACATACATAATGGTCTATTAAAGAACTCCATTAATTTTTCAATTTTTTCCTTACATTGCTATCTAAAATGCATCTGGGTGTCATAATATGATATACGCGAGTGAAACCGCGGGGCACAGCTAGTACCAAAATAAAACACTTTTTTTTCAAATTGACTATGTTCATTCATCACATTAAACAAATAAATACAAAAATATGACACGAGATTTAGAAATGTCGTATTAAAGGAGCTTTTACTCTATCACAAATTGTCCAATTTCAAAATTTAAAGAAGAGTTAAAAAAAAAAGACACTGGACTATGGTGGAAATTTAAAATATAGCAACACTTTTCCTGTTTAAACGTTTGTTATCACACGCTAATTTTGCCGCCATATTTGTTTTATATTGTAAAGGAAGTTACATAACTCATTTTAAATAAATAAATACATAAAACACTAATGCACTTGATAAATATGTATACATACGGTTTTCAATAGAACATTTAGTTAATTTGTTTATTGTATATTTTTTATTTTTGTATAACTAGACTTTTTTTCGTAGATGATTTATACCAGTTTGGAAGGTACCTAGTGTGATTTTGAATAAAATACTATTTTTATACAATTAACTGTGCAAGGCGTACAATTTTTCACACATTTTTAATGCGTCAATTTACAATTCAATAACCAATTAACGCTTTTTACAGCATCAGCTAAATAACTTTAATTTATTAACCAATATTAGCTGCTTGTTTCTTGGCTTTAACTAACTCAACTAATTCCTTGTATCTCTTCATGCAGTCTTTTTTGGTGCGATTGGGGATGCAGTCGGCAATTTTGTCCCACCTCTCGGGTGTACTCACAGGGAATGTCTTAATAGCTTGTTCCAACAATTCTTGTTCAGTTTTTGTCCAGGGCCTTTCTTCTTTCCCCACTTCTTTGCCAACGTCACCATTCATTTTCGGCTTTGCTGTACCATTAACTAATTTCGTATCACTTTTCGATATACTACTGTCATCAACATTATTGATGGCTTTCTTTTTATCTTTCTCAAACTGGTCAAATGCTTCCTCATTCGCAGCTTTTTTAAGGCTACTTTTAGAGAAGTCGGAGCTCTGTAGATCCTTAGCTTTGTTGAGAACCTCCTTAGCATTAAAGCGTCTTTCATCAACAAACGTCCCATGCTGGTTGAGGAAGTTGGATACAACTTCCCACCTCTGGTTTGTTCCTGCAGGGAACAAATTAACAGCTTTGATAAGAAGCTGTGTTAATTCTGGCGTCCAGTCAATCGGTGCTTTTAAGATGGCATTCTTTTTAGCCTTCTGGTCCTCTACTTTCTTTGTTTCAAACAAAGCCTTACGTTCGGCTTCCAATTTTTCTTCCGTTTCTTTCATAACTTTCAAGAACGCTTCTCTTCCGTTTGTTTCCAACTCTTTCATAAACTCCTGCAACTCCACAACTTTCATCATTTCACAGATCTTCTCCACTGCAGCCAAATGCGCAATGTTTTCATTATCATTTTGGGAGTAGTAATTGTTTGATTTACATAAATCCCTAAGAGATTTGCGTTCTTTACGTAGGTTCTTCTTCATTTGTTCCCGTTCCGCCCTAGCTGCTTCGAGGCGTGCCTTTTCAGCTTCTTCCGCCTTTTGTTTGGCAAGTAGGGCTTCCTTCATCAGACGCTCTTCTTCAGCCTTTTTGGCTTGAACGGCATCCTGTAAAATTTATATTTAATATATAAATGTTGTGGCACTAATGTTCTACCATTTAGAAGTGCCAATGTAAGAGAATCCACTGCCTACATATGTCATTATGTGATAAAAGATGTAAGAGAGAAAACTGGAACTAGAACAGACAGGCATTTACCTGATGACAGCTCAAAATAATAAAAAAAATCCTTAAGTTGAAACATTATGAGCACTGATAGTAGTAACATTTGATATGGGAAGCTTTTAATTTTTATGGCATTCTAAATTTAAACTCTACTTAGGTTGAGTTAAAAAGTAAAAATGAGATAAAAATATAAAATCTTTCATAAGCTATGTGGGCCATTTGAATAAGAATAATTGAAAATTAAAAAACCACTTTTTTCCACCACTTTATCATCATGATGATGGGTTTAAATGATAACATTAATTGACAATCAAATAGATTACATAAAACAATTATTTAATGATAATTAAACTTGAATTGAATAAAATTAGTTTAATGGATTTCATCCCCTGGCAATGGGGTGAACGCTACCAAGCTCTTTTTAATTTGTTTGGTGTTGTTAATTGTGTAACATATATGATTGTACAGTTTTTTCTTACACCAGTGGTAAATTAAACAAAGGAATGACTTTCAATAAGTATTATTTATAATCTATATTGTATAAAAAAATTCTGTTTCTATCAAGTTTAATTTTATTTGTATTTAATTGCCAACTTTTTAGATACTTTGCAGCATCTACGGTTATGTGGTTGTGAGACTGATGTGTTTACATTTAGCTTTTCTAGCGTTCAAAGTTTGAAGCTAACTGTGGAGTGGCGGTGTAAGAATATCCACTATCCCACATAGTTCCGAAGGTGTCATAAGAGGCGACAGAGAGAATATGGAACAGGAGATGGGCTGCAGCATCTTTCTAATAACAACTCAAAATAATAGAAAACTTCACATGCCAACCCACTTGCCAACAATGTTGCAACTATGGCAAAATCCCCCCATGAGACAATCTATGAGTGAGACCTGTGTTCAGCAGTGGACTTTTATAGGCTTTATTGGAATTTGTGGATGGATAATTTAGTTTAGTTTACTAAAGGTTGTTTTCTGCAACTCCACGTCTAAGCGCGTATTTTGCGTGTGGGCAGGAATAATGTAATTATTCGAGCCATGAGATCTCCCCTAAGAAGTTCAATAATCCTTTGGTGTTGCATTTGTGGATATGGATGGATGGATATGGACTATGGGAGCTGCAAAGCACCTGAAATATCGGGAATTAAATACAAGTAAAATTAAGCATGATAAAATCCGAAAATTAGATTTATTTTATAAAAAAAACATTATTCAACTTATTTGCACTACTTTTTGTAATCAGTGCATTTAATTATTTATGACAGTAGTTATTGGAACGAAGTTCTTTATTGGATGGTATGGGTTTGGCGGATGGGAGCTAGGCGACAAAAAGTGTAAGATTTTTTCGCCACTACCCCTTGTGACATAGTGTAGACGGCCTTGGCTGCGAAATAAGGAAGTGAGATGGAATAATATCCATCTCCCTAGCACTTTTTCTTATCTTGCCATGAAAGAAATATTCTTTTATTTCAAATGAAGCTTCATTTTAATAGACACTAGTAATTCATTTATTTGTATTTGTTAATCAGTAATATAATACCTACATTTATCAATAATAATATACTACGCACGGAACTTCGTTCCAACTGAGTGTTCCACTACACTCACACATTTTTTAAAATTATATTATGCAATAAAAATTATTGACTTGTATTAGTCAACCACAAGAATAAGATAAAAGTATAAACTTTGGTTAAAAATATAATCATAGTAATAACTAGTATATTTATGGACACCTATAGCAAATTAACTTAAAGACAAAGTAGGTGATATAGTTAAATTAATACTAATATATTAATTACAGTTAAAACAAGAGATAAAATTAAAAATTTTGTACATTCATTATAAATGATTAAGGTTATCTCAAAACTACTGGTCAGACCTTGACCAATCTTGGTTTTTATGGGAGCATGTGAGAAGCACCAGCTTTCAAATAAAAAAAGAATCACCAAAATCGGTAGGGAAAATTATGTTGTACACACAAAAAATACAGTCAAAATGAGTACCACCTCCTTTTTGAAGCCATTTAAAATAGGTATTACTCTAGTTTAGAAAATGGAAAAAGGGAAAGGAACCCTAACACTTTAATTTTCCGTTAAACAGCTGTGTAAAATTGTGTTCCTATTTTTACATGGAAGAGTCACACTGCAGCTATAGGATGTTTGTAGCATGAATGGGTCACCTCGACAGGAGTAGTACCACACTCTCACAGAATACAAGCTTAAAATACCAGTTTAATGCCTTTGTGTTTTGTATGGTGGATGCAGAGAACTGGAGACCCTTTTTACTGGAAGCGAGGCATTCCGTCTTAGTCCTCAGTGCTGACAACTCGAGGATAAATATAGATTTCTAGGGGCCACAGCATCCACTTACTATCAGGCAGACTGTGTGCTTGTTTGTCATCCTAATTCTATAAAATAAATTTGAAAGGTATTCAGTATAATAACAGAGTGCTTTAGTACTGAGGGGTAGAACTGATAAGACATCTGTTTTGAAGTTGGATGTGTAGAGGCTGCAGTGGCCACTTAACATCAGGCAGACTTTTTAAAACTTCTAAGATTTGTTAAATTTATCAAAACTATATACCTGTCTAGCACGTTTAGCTGCCAACTTCTTGTCCTTGTCTTCCTGCTTAAAGCGCTGGATTCTTGGATCATTTGCGTATGCTAAATCAACTAAGCTACGTATCCTTGCCATTTCCTCCTTCTTTAATTTTGCTCTTGCTGCTTTGTTTTGTTTTTCTATCCATCGCCTCTCCTCTCTGTCGGCGCCTTTCTCTTTTTCTTCCTCATCCAAATAAGAGAATTCACGCCAAGACTCAAACTCATACCAGAATGCGTAAAATCTTTCAACATATTCACGTGAACTGTTATCATCGCCTAATAAAGGTGCATTTCTTTTTTCAGACCATCGGGCATTCATTTCAAAGTATTTAGCGAAGGCTTTAAAGAAACCCTCTTTTTTTATTTCAGCCAATGTAGGTATAGAGTCATCAAACATAGGATCTATGGAATCATATGATTTCCGCTTGTTTGGCGTTCCAAGGGTCTCATAAGCTTTGGTAATGCATGTGAAATAGTCATCATCACTCCGCACCTCCTCTCCTTGAGCCTTTCGCTTATCTGGGTGATGTTTAAGAACTTTTTGACGATAAGCTCTCTTTATGTCATCTTCAGTGGCTTTATAGCGCAAATTTTTCATACCCAATACAGCATAGTGATCTTGCCGCTTCCATTCCTTTGGGTCCAAGCTCCGCAGATATTCCACATCGTCTTCAAATATCACTTCTTTAATATTTTCTTTAGATGTTGACGTTAGCGATTGGGTATCTTCACCATGACATTTAATGTTATAATATCTAAGGAATGCAGCTCCTGCACATTCTACTTTTCTTTTTATAAACGGCCATGGTATTACCACCATGCGGCTATGACTATTAGCGTCTCCGTCTGTCATTCTCTTTCAAGTTTTCTTAGAAAATATTGTAACGATATGGACATAACCTCTAAACAAAGTAAACACCTTGCAAGCTATGACCAGTGAATATTACACTGTAATCACATAAATTATTGAATGCTAGAAAAGAGATTACAATATATAATTCGTTTAGTTACTAACTACATGAATACTCTACATTTTATTAAATCCTAAAACGCGCCATGAAAATGACAAGACAAGTTGACAAGACGTAAGTAAAACTAAAATTATTCATGTGAAAGTAAAACTGAACGAATTTTTGGTTGTTGCTTTTTTTTATAACTGGCTTAATGGCTCTGGGTTCTAGCCTGAAGTTATAATGTATAATTATCCCTCATAGTCAACTTCTTATTAGTTTGTGTTCATGGTACACTGTTTCACAATATGTTGATGCGTCACATTGTGCAGCCCTTGGCAGATTTTGACGGCAACTTGAGCCAGCAGACAGCTAACAGTTGGCGATGGCATCTCAAGGCGCCTAAACAGACAGACAACCTATCTTGAGAATCACATCACCATCAGAGCACTTGTTTCACTATTTCCACTAATAGTTCACATGCGCACATATTTAACACACAAAATCGCACCACTTTTACATATCAAAATCCACTTCAAACCATTATTTAAACAATAATTTGGACAGCAATCCGTCGCCGGTCAAGTTCCCGCCAAAAGTCCTTGGTTGTTGTGATATCACGTTATCTCTGTCGCGCTCCGATGGTAAAGTGACAAGGCCTTTTTGATTTTTTATGAATTTTTGCAACTTTACAGCCTTAATATTGGTCTCACTAATTTATATATTTATTTCTTTTAAGTGATTACACACAAAGAAAATAATACAGTCCCTTATATTTTTTTCTAATATGGAGATACGACTATTTAATTCGTTGATCTGCGATTCTAATGCAGTTTTTTCGGTTTCCATTTTAGCAATGTTTTTTGTGGCAGTATCTAATTTTATTTGCACATCACATTGAAATGCAGCAAAGTGGCCAGTCGTCTCATTGAACTCTGCCTTAAGCTTACAAATAGCGCAGTTGATAACCTCCCTAATTGCAAACCTTATATCCGACAATTTTAAGTCCAGGAATGCGCTGAACTGATCACATGTTATAGTCGCCGATGGTAGTACATTGTTAGTGTTAGGGTGACAGAAAGCACTTTTCTCGGTAAAATCTGCGGTGTTATGTTATCGCATGACTTATCCGAGATGTCTGTAGGCGGTGATGAGAGCTGCTTACGAACAGGCATCTTATCATCTTTACGACGCGTTACTAGCTTACATGTAGAATTGCCTGTTGACCTGCGAACAATACCTGCCAAAAATATTTTTAAAAGAAAACTGCGATGTTATATCCCCGAAACTCTTCACCGCTGCATTGGAAGACGTTTTAAAACTTCTGGACTGGAAAGGATACGGTATTAACATCAACGGCGAGTACATCACTCACCTTCGATTTGCCGACGATATAGTCCTTATGGCAGAATCGCTGGAGGACCTAAGCACCATGCTCAATGACCTCAATAGTGTCTCCCAACGAATAGGTCTTAGGATGAACATGGACAAAACAAAGATCATGTTTAATGTCCATGTCACACCTATGCCGGTAGTTGTTGGGAGCACTAAGCTCGAAGTTGTTGACGAGTATGTTTACCTAGGACAAATAGTCTGACTAGGTAAGTCCAACTTCGACCGAGAGGTCAATCGACGGATTCAACTCGGCTGGGCAGCGTTCGGGAAACTACGACACATCTTCTCGTCAGACATACCTCAAAACCTTAAAACGAAATTGTACAACTAGTGCGTGTTGCCAGTGATGACTTACGGATCTGAGACGTGGTCCTTCACTGCTGGCCGTATGAGGAAGCTCAAGGTCGCTCAGCGAGCTATGGAGAGGGCTATGCTCGGGGTTTCTCTGCGTGATAAACTTAGAAATGAGTATATCCGCAGTAGAACCAGAGTAACCGACATAGCCCAACGGATTAGTAAGTTGAAGTGGCAGTGGGCCGGCCATATAGCTCGAAGAACCGACAACCGATGGGGAAGAAAGGTTCTTGAGTGGCAGCCTCATACCGGTAGGCGAAGTGTAGGGCGACCCCCCACGAGATGGAGTGACGACCTGGTAAGACATGCAGGAAGTCGATGGATGCAGGTGGCTCAGGACCGTGCTTTGTGGCATTCCTTGGGGGAGGCCTATGTTCAGCAGTGGACTTGTGAAAGGCTGTCATGATGATGAATGATGAATTATCGCCATTTCTGTTGTGGGGCATAACTGAAAAACTAGGCCAATCATTTACCACAAATCTAACAGTTTGTGAACGCACCACCATCGCATTTTCTTGGGTTCCGTACATTAAAAATGCAAGAGCACGAAAAAACCGTCGGTGTCACCTATAATGGGGACGACAGTATGTTCTTCCATGTTTCCTTTAATATTAAGAGTTTCTGTAGTCAATTTTTCAGTGAGAAAAATACATTTTTGAAAATTTCAGCAAAATCCGTTCAGTAGTTTCGGCTGTGCGTTGATAGATGAGTCAGTCAGGTTTGTCTTTTATATAATATGGAAGATACCAATAGGCGTAGTTTTCCTCGTACTTATCATACAAGCACAGAGAAAATTTGCTCGTTGTGTAAAACAATCATATTTTACAGTACTGCAAGTCGTTTCAAGACATGTCACGGGAAGACAAAGTGAGATTATTTTCGCAACTACATATTTGTCGCAATTGCCTGTACTCACACAACGACAATAAATGCAACTCCAACAAAAGATGCCGCGTGTGCAAGGATGCACACCACACAAAATTGCATGATATTTACCGCAAGGTTGAAATCGCGATCTCAAATAACGTGATACCTAACAACAAGCCACATACGTCACAACAAAAGGCAAACTACGTGGTTGGAAATTATAACGAAGTCCTACTAGCGACCGTTCAACTAAAGGTGATGGCAGCAGATGCATCGAATGTTCAATTGCGATGCCTTCTCGACCAAGGGTCACTGATAAATCTAATAACTGAGAATGCTGCTCAATGGCTGGGACTGCAAAGACAAAATCGAAATGTCACAGTCTCAGGCATAGGGGACGTCAGCACATCATAGCAACGGAACCGTACCGTTAAACTGTGAGGCTTTGTATGGAGGCCATTCATTTACAACCGAAGCGATGGTAATGGCCAACATGCTCAGCAACCTGCCTAATTACACCTTCGAAAAACAAGATTGGCCACATATTCAGAACATACAATTGGCGGATCCCGACTACAACATCGCGAAACCAGTGGACGTTCTGTTAGACGATGGAGTATATGCTAACGTAGTAATGAGTGGTATGCTATAAGGGCCCAACCACACGCACCCATGGCTAAACAGACAAAGGTCGGCTGGGTACTGCTGTACAATATCAAAACCTTCAACTGAAACATGCTCATTAATCTTGACGATGTATCTTGATTTTAGGGGTTGGAAGAAATAACCGAAACTAATCATAATCTAACATCAGAGGAAGAATACGGTGAATCTGTTTATTTAACAACAACAAGAAGACAAGAAGACGGACCATATGCAGTCAGACTTCCAATGAAAACAAATTATATATCGGCAATTGGAAAGGACTGGCCAAAAAGGAACATTTTCTACATCATACAAGAAGTTTATTGACGAATATTTACAACTCGGCGACATGAAGCCATGCACTGAACAGCATGAGTCAATTTACTTCTTACATTATCACGAAGTGCAAAAGCTGGACTCAACAACTACAAAACTGCGCGTAGTCTTCAACGCCTCTGCCAAGACACCTACAGGACTAAGCTTGAACGATCTCATGGAGTGCGGGGCTAACCACCAACAAGACCTGCAATCTATGATTCTGCGATGGCGAGCCTTTCAATAGGTCTAGACTGCAGTCATTGAGAAGTTTTACCGTCAACACTTCAACAAACTTTTTTGTACGTTACTACTGATATTTTTGATGTGTGTTGGACCTACTACGCAACAAATGATCAACATAACGAAGCTTAGCAGTTCAAGATTCGTTTATTTCGACAAGGTATCTGACGTGCATATTGTTCAAGATAAGTGTAAAATGGTTGTATACTACAACATGACGACATATTGGCGGAGTTTGGAAAACATACAAAACTATGTCAACCATTTGAACACATTATGCAAGAATGAAGCAGCCTATCTTACAATTTCATCCCAGTTTTAATACGAACTTAACGAAATCCAACATTATAATGATTTCTTACGATCTGAACATGGACCACCTCAAAGAAAAAGAGGACTAGTGATTGCAATTGGATACTTAGCAAATTCCCTTTCTGGTACTCTGGATGAGGGATTTGCCAATCAGTACGAGAAGGATATCAACATAATCCAGTCAAACGAAAATCATCTATTGAAACTCTGCAAAAATCACACATCGAAGATGAATATAATCTTTTGAAAAGAAACGAGGAAGTAATGAACACACAAATTCGTATCATTGACAATCATCTTGCTGAAACTGGAAAACGCATACAAGTGAGCCATGACAATGCTATGTACAGCTACCGCTCTGAACCTTGAAGTTGATCATTTCAGACATACGACAAATACAACAGCAACTTCTAGACCTAGTAACTGCGTTAACGAGACAGGAGAGTTGACACCCATCTCATCAAGCCTAACCGATTTGAAGAGCAGCTCAACATCATCTAGGGTCAGTTACCAAGTGAGTTATCACTACCCTGTGTAAACACACGCCATTGCACGCGAAGCCTGGACAAGCTGGCGCGAGTGCACATGCACTTAACAAGTGCATACCTAATATTCGAAGTGAAGCTACTGCTAATAAACAACGAACAATATGAACTTAACCGCATCATTCCTATTCCGCAAATAACTGGACATACAGACAAAACTATAGTACTCATTTCTGAATACCTCGCTGTAAACCTAAAAAGGGACATGATAGTGCCCATAGAAGACA